GCACTACTCTACTAAAAAATATAGTAATATTATTTTAGTAGTAGTTGAAAGCTTTAATTTTGAGTAGGCGCCTATTTTAGTGGGGTGTTGCATTGGCTGAACTGTTGCATGGACTGACCACATCTAGTAGCGTCTCGGCGCGTTATAAATTCGAATGGAAATTAATGACAACTGACATTTTTGCTTTTGAAGCAGGGCGTTTTGCAATGGCAGCACCGATGCCATTTGATCCAGCAGCTATCAGTGTGAAGCTCGACATAACAGCAAAGGCTATTCTTCTTTGACGTAATAGCCACAACCCGAACCATGAATCTAGATCTGTATGAGTATCGGGTTGTACACCGCCTATCCTGTCGGCGTTACGGTCCCGTAGATGGTTGCCTAGAAATAAGATGTTGGACGGGGCGGCTTTCGGCTGAACCCTCAACAAAGAAAGACTCCGACTGTTATCGGGAACATCGGGACCACATTATATAATCCACCATTAGGCCTCTATAATAAGGGCCGAAAACGGGCGCCCAACGCGCAAATCCCCACATAATAGCAATCTTCCAAGCCTCTTTCATCTGATTTGTCCACCATCACGATTCCTGTCACGATTCGTGCCACGATCTTTTTCATCTTTGAATATCTATGTCTATGGCGCAAGACGAGTTGCTGGATAACGGGCTCCGAGTGGTTCGCCGCTTCATAACCGATCATGACGCTGAAGGCAAGGAAAAATTATCAGAGGCTGTACCAGACACTCTGGAATGGCAGCAATTAGCAAATGGCGCAAGATTCAGCTTGGGTTATGCTACAGAGGAACATCCTGTGAATTTTAACGACAATGCCGATATTACAATATATAAGAAAAATCTTGCAGATCTCCCTGGCGTCATAATTCCTGGAGGGACGGTTCTGCGCGTCGTGGATATGGACCCGGGCTCAACATCACCTATGCATCGTACCATCAGCTTGGATTATGGCGTTGTGCTTGAAGGAGAGGTGGAACTGATCTTGGATTCTGGAGTAACGAGACTGCTGCGCAGGGGCGACATAGTAATTCAAAGGGGAACAAATCATGCGTGGAGAAATGCTAGCTCTACAAAATGGGCTCGGATGCTCTACGTGCTGCAGGAAGCACAGCCACTGCAATTTAATGGGAAAACTCTAGAAGAAGATTACGGCGGTGGCATGGACGATGTCAAGTCATCAGCGAGGAAGTAGCAGGACAGACAGGATCTACAGAATCACTATATTGTCTCTCGCCCCAAGATTTCCATTCAGACATATTGACCAGGTGCGAATTCCATTACACTAAAACATGCGCGTCACAGGATAAACGATCTTTGGTTTCATGTGGAGATTAAGAGGCTGTTCGAAGAATCCTACTCTAGTGACCAGAACTGAAGTGCATCTGTTGTGTGGACAGCTATTGATATTATAAAGCATGCAAGTAGGCGTCAGACAAAGATTGGTGTTGGAAGTTTTCGCGAGGTGGTGAGCTTCACGTCCCGGTGGATGTGTCTAATCTTGCCACAATTCAAAACATATACAGACGGTAGAACTTCGCGTGTTGTGACTCACATACGTCATGCCCCATCGATAGTTTACATGAAAGATATTTGCGACTCGAATTCTCTTATTGATTGTTAGCGTGTTCTGGCATTTCGTGGTTTCGAAGAGGGGCCGGGCGACATGAACGGACTAGTAGGTCAAATGTGCGGACCCGAACTCCAGACCTCACAGCAGCTTGTACTGAGTTACTGTTTATTGCTTATAAGGTGCAGTATCTGCTGGTTTATAGAATGGGCATATTGCTTATTTCATTATCTGTAAGCAGTTGTGCATGTAAGATATATTATATATCGTTATATGTATTAGATAGAAACAAATTCAAATACAGAGATGTAAGTTGGTGAGTAACGAAGTGACTATACATGGTACTTCTGGGCTTACATTGTCTAATTAGCCAGTACCTTCACTCTTGCATTACACACCATGGCATCTCGCTACCTCAAGAGGGGTTCATTTGCTGAGACTATAACTACTTCAAACCAAACCGATGTCAGCTCGATTGTGAAAGGTGTCATTGATGATATCGTAGAAACCGAGACGAGGCTGTTTGCAAGTACTCTGAAAAATTTGACAAATGGTCACTACAGTCTTTCAAGCTATCAAAGGAAGAAATCGACGCCGCTATTGTGGCAATAACTTCGCAAACCATTTAGGATATCAAAAAAGTTTAGTTAAATGTAAGAAAGTTTGCACAAGCGCAGAGAGACTCAATTCGTGATTTCGAGCTGGAAACTCAACCAGTAGGTCATTCTCCGAATTCCCACGCATTTTCTGCTCTAATATTCCATTATTAAGGAGTTTTCCGAGGCCAAAAGGATATTCCAATCTCATTTGCAGGAGCATACATTCCAGGCGGTCGTTACCCTCTGCTGGCTTCAGCGCACATAACCATCCTCACTGCGAAGGTTGCTAGAGTGCAACATGTGATTAGCTGTACGCCTCCGATTGCTGGCAAGATACCCAATGCTATCGTTGCAGCAATGCATTTGGCTGGCGCCGATGAGGTTTTCATTCTTGGAAGTGTTCAAGCCGTTGCAGCGATGGCTATTCGAACCGAAACCATTTGGAAGGTTGACTTCATTGCCGGACCTGAAAATGCATTTGTCGCTGAGGGAAAGCGTCAGTTGTTTGGGGATATTGGGATTGACCTTTTCGCAGGCTCTACTGAAGTTCTCGTCGTTGCAGACGAGACAGCCGATCCCTTCACCGTGGCAACTGATATCCTTTCCCAAGCGGAGCATGGTCCAGACACGCCCGCAGTCATCATCACCACATCAGATGATGTCGGAAGAAAGTCCATGGAGATAATAGATCAGCTTCTTGAAGATTTGCCCACTGCAGCACTGGCTGGAACATCTTGGAAAGCGTTTGGCGAGGTGGTGGTGGTCGATAGTCTGGATGAGGCTTGGAAGTTGGTCGATGAATACGCCAGCGAGCATGTCCAGATCTTTACAAAAAACCCAAGAGATGCTCCTGGAGAAGATGAAGGCTTAGGGTGCCCTCTTCTTGGGCGAAAACACCTGTGTTTCCTATGGTGACAAGGTAGGTTTCTACAGATACCAGCAGTCCGCCAAGTGCTCAACTCATCTCGAGGTCATTGGCACAAATCATATTTTCCCCACGAGGAAGGCGGCAAGGTATACGGGAGGTCTTTGGGTAGGTAAATTTTTAAGGACAGTTACCTATCAAGAAGTCACGGATACCAAAGCGAGTGGGGAGTTGGGCCCTCTGTGTAGCAGAGCCGCTCGAGCAGAAAAATTCAAGGGTCATGCACGTTCTGGTGATTTGCGAGCACATAAGCACCTCGCACACGAGTATCCTTGGATAAAAGGAGCTCAGCCGGCCTTGGGCACTATTGCGGCCAGGACGCGAACAGGAAGTGACGGCATTTGTTGTCAATATACATTGTCACGTAGCCAGAATGTATGATTTTGAATTTGATGTTGAGATTCAGAAGACGGCGCATACTGCATTTGCAACGTCGATAAGACTTTGATGTTTCTTCATACCTTGCGCCGGAAAGTGTAGCCTCAAGGGAGTCCCATTTCGAATCCACTATGGTTAGTAAGTAAATTCAAACGCTTTGCAAGTACATCTTGTAGCTCTACACTAGTATGTCAAGTAACTCGATTTGACATTCCTTGTTGCCGCTAGGGACAGGGGAATCTTCGTATCGTTCACTCCACAGACTACCGACAAACATGTTGAGGCTTTTGCCATGTTGCGTTTAGCGAAGTGCGCCAAGAAGACCCGTGCGGGGTTTTCCCGGTGGAGGCGGGCGGAACTGGCAGTTTTGTGGTGTACTTACATAGTGGAGCCGTGTGGTCCCGATGCATATCCCACTCCACGAAACTCCACTATCTTCCTCAGTGCCCCGGATGGAGTAAGTTCTCACTGTAGAGAGCGAATCATCTAAAGTATTCATTCAAGCGATTTGTATTTAAAAGAGTGCAAACACTTTAAGTCTTTGTGTGTAGATTCCAAAATTTGCAAAAGTGCTCCAAAGGCACTGTCGCAGGTCAGCAGTCAACCCATCAAAATGACTACCAATAGATATTTGAATGGAAACTCGAAAGGACATGCTACTTCAAGCTTCCCTTTGAGGATTTCTATAATAGGGGCAGGGATCGGAGGATTGACAGCAGCGATTGCGTTGCGCAAGCAAGGGCATCATGTGCAGGTAGGTCTGAGTCTTCCAATATGCGGTGCACAAATTCTAAGACAAAAAAAGATATTTGAGCAGTCAGCGTTCACCCACGAAGCCGGAGCTGCTATACATCTCGCTCCGAATGCGAATGGTATTCTTCGGCGCCTTGGAATCTTTGCGGAAGAATTCGGCGCGAACGAGATGGAGAGGGTGAGTTTGATTTGCGAACAGTCTGGTGACAGTACTAGACATTACTGACGTGTTATGCTAGTTGACTGAGTACACGGCATCTGCTGAGCTTACGCGAACCTTAGACCTTCGAGAGCCCAACAAGCAGTGGCAACATGTAAGTAAGAGCCCAAACATCTCCTCCAAACTTCCACTGATGATTAATTTCTGCAAATAGCCATGGCTTCTTGCTCACCGAATAGATTTGCACGATAGCCTCAAGAAAGCTGCAGAAGATCCCAAGGCAAATGGATTGTATCAATTACATACTTCTAGTAAAGTCATCTCCTTAGATCCAAACACCGCTACTGTCACACTCGAGAACGGCTCCACGATAGAATGCGATTTAGTCGTTGCAGCCGACGGAGTTCACTCAGTTGGCAGATTGTTCGTCCCAGGCGGCAATGTCAAGCCCTTCAGCAGTGGCAAGAGTGCTTTTCGCTTCCTCGTACCTCGTGAAAAGGCAGCCGAAGACGCAATGACTAGGGAATTTGTCAAGAATCCTGGAGACTTGATCATCTGGTACGGCAGCGACCGTCGTATCGTCATGTACCCCACCTCCAACAATTCCATGTTGAATTTCGTCTGCATTCACCCAGAAATAGAAACAGCAGATGCATCTGGCAAGGGATGGAACCAAACCGGCCATCTCGAAAAGCTGCTTCATGTATACAAGTCTTTCAGTCCAGCAGTTTTGAAGCTTCTTGGCAAAGCAGATCCTCAGACCATAAAAATCTGGACGCTGCTGGATATGGAAGTGATACCTACCTGGACGAACCAACGTCTAGGGCTTCTTGGAGACTCTGCACACCCATTCTTGCCGCACCAAGGTCAAGGAGCAGGCGTTGCTATTGAAGATGCTGCATCTCTTGCAGCCGTTCTTCCTGCCGGGACGCGACCCGAAGAAGTACCGGAGAGGCTGAAGCTTTATGAGAACATTCGGAAAGTAAGAGCCGATCGAATTCAACAACATAGTCGCATCGCAGGGAAAGACCTTGATGAGAAGAAAGATAGTGACAGTAAGCACCTGACTGGCTTGGTTTGATGTTTGGTTCATGTCTAATCCAAAAAGTGTACGGATTCACAAATTACAATTTCGGACACGACGAGTGGGACAATTCTACCCAGAAATTCCGCGAATGGCAGTGGAGCCGCATGGCCAAGCCATACTGGCGCATGCCCATTGCATTCGGGCCCATGCCCGGACCACGGCAAACACACTTGGGAGTTCCTCGAGACGGCAACAACTCCACATTTACAACCGCTTCGATCAAATTCAAGACATCACGTACTGTCTTGCAAAACCTGTTTCCCCCCGGTCGCCCAGGTTGGAGTTTTAAGTCTCCCGGTACAGTAGCATATGCCTCATTCTCACAAACGACTCTGAATGGAATGGAGTGGCTCGGAGGCTCTGGATACAAACATATCGGCCTGTATGTTCATGGAGTCGAGTATGTCAAAAAGGATGGGACTGTTCTTCGTGGCTCATATCTTCCCATCCTCTTTGAATCACTTACGGACCCTATTGTTTCCGGACGAGAGGAGCTTGGTATGCCAAAGCTGTACACTTCAGTTGATGTTTATCGTCGTTCGACCTCTTATCGCATACGTACTGGCTGGGAGGGTAGCTTTTGGGGCGATTTCCTCCTTGAAGGACTGACAGAAATTGAACCTGCGACTGAGATGGGCTCTATAAGTGGTGAAGCAGACGACGGTATCTTAGCATACAGGTATATGCCCAAGGTGGGCTACGAGAACAAGAGTATTGCAGCGGATGAACATGTTGTGTGGGATTCATTCAGCGCAGCCACAACTACACCAAAGCCAAACAGACTTTTCAAGGCAACCAAAGCCAAGTTCAGCATCGATCCGCTGAATTGGGAACAGTTGCCAACTTTACATCACGTCATCTCAAGACTAGCTGAACTGCCAGTCTACGAAGTTGTAGACGCTAAAGTAGTGGAAGGCTTAGGTGTACCTGATGTTTCAACTGCGAGGCCGGTACTATAGACTCTGTGTGTAAGAGGCTATGCTCTAGAGTGCAATCGCGCGGTATATAAGAGGTTATACTCAATAAACAGCTATCTACTTTACTTAATACGATATTTGTTTTTTAAAGAGAATACATATGTTAAAAGATCCAATCGCACTGTATGAGGGCTGCTAGAGCAGTAAGAAGAATCTAGGTGATGAAGAACGGAATTAAGATAAGCGTTAACTATGTTAAGGGCGAAAAGGTGTTTGAATGAGTTTGCAATAGCCTATATATATTAGGTTAAAGGCTTCGTTATTAAAAGTGCTTAACAACTAATCCGTGCATAGGTAATCTTATATTAGAAGTGCTATAATACAACCTTCAAAGTGTAAGCTCCTATTACACGCGATTCTTCAAAAGCAGTTGATAAAGTTCAATTAACGTGTTTTACAAGCGAGCGGCGCGTACAAGCGAGCGGCGCACCCCACCAACTTTGCACACCTCTCTCATCTTATCATACCATGGCTCCACGC